TTTTTTTTACATCTCTCCCTGCGTGGGATATGCAATTTCTGGACGGCGCTTGACCATGTTTGTCACTTATGACTATGTTCCAAGTGGTACGATAAGCTTCCTTAAGTTCGGCTACTTTATGCTGGTCCGACAAACCCACAACATCAACAGTTGCTTGCGTCTACATACCTTTAGAAATGTCAATATCAAGAAGGCATTGACCATTTACTATGAGCTTCAAGTAATCTTAGTGTCAACCTTTTCGGGGGCGCAGGTTCTGATAGGGTTCCCTTCTATCGTAGTTTTGTAAACTAGGTCTTTCGGACTGAGTTATTTTGCTTTTTCAAAGGCCTGGCTCAGAATGACGTCTCTTGGATAAATCAGAATACTCAAGTGATACTGGTTTTTGTTTTCAAGAGCGTTTGTTCGTCCTACAAATTCTGGTCGTAGTCGCAGAAGCGCCGATCGGTAAGGTAGACAAACTGGACAAACTGACACCCAACGAAACAAACCCCGATTGTTCAGCCAGATAGCTTTGCTTCGCGACCAAATTAATGTCTTTCTGGTAGTTTTCCCCTGTCGCTATGCGGCCACTCCTGACAAGTATTTAGTTGTTATTCATTTCAATTTGCCTTCAGAAACAGCTCCGCCGAGACCTTCGCATCGGGAGTGCTTATCACATAGGAAGTTCTCGATTCCCGCGCACCTTTTCACCAACCCCCTACTCAACACTGGAAGTCAACAATCAGCAGTCCGTCACAACCCCTCTTGTTATCGACAAGGATTCAACGCCGCCTCCTACCACTACAGATACCTTCCTAAGACATCCTTTCAACTTGATTCTAGCCCGTGAGCAAGGTGACATTGGACCAGCTCCGAAATCCAGACGCGTCCGCTACAAAGCTTCACGGTGGCGTTGTGAAGGTTCGCCCCGAATTGATGGGCTCCAGCTTCAGGGGCACCGAGAGCGAGGGACACGACATGCTGATCCTCAAACATTCTCTGAACTAGTACAAGGCAGTTTGTGGGCGGTTTCGCGCTTGCATTTGGAAAACAAGTTCAAGGTTTGTTAACGGTGTTTTCTTCGAAGTGCTGATTTTTCCAATTTAATTTCGAACAAAATTTCTGACTCGACACAAAATTCTCTCTATTGTTTTAAAGTCCTACGCAAACACGCCCTCCTTGGAGATTTGCTCTGTTCGGAGTAGTGGGTGGGTTCGTGCTTTGTTGGGGGGCGGGTTAGATGACCCAAGTGGTTAGAGCACGAATT